TAAACTCTATGTATACTTCATGCTTTAGAAAGGATTTATCCTTTTTCCATTCCTGAATGTGCCTGGTTCTATTCCTCGAGAACAAAAATTGAGGACTAATCAATTTTCTCCTTTGGCCTTAACGTCATTTAGGGCTTTATTTGCATTCACCTAGCCAAGTTATAAATACCATCAAACACCTATATCATGCTAGTTCTTTACTTAATATAATAAATCGGTTTCACTTAATAAAATACAAAACCAGATGAAGTCAACCTGTGTACCCAACAGTTGGGAACATGTAAGGGCACATCAAAAAGTTTGTAGAAAAATAGAATTTAAAGGTAATACAAATTTTTCCATGAATTCTTGAAGCACTCTCATATATTTAGCAGACAGTGGGGGAAAAAATGAGGTGCTGAGGCCAATCTCCAGCCAGTACTCAATGTCAGTTAGATCACATATTCTAAAACCTAAAACGTAAACAGCTCTAATGTCGTTTTATCTTTGGCTCTCATTGTATACCCAGAGAATCTGAATTTGATTTTAGCATTTTCTCTCTCCTACTCTCCTCTCTTTGCCCAATGAGACCTTTCCCCTTGGGGCCTGTCCTTGTCTTCACAAGCCCACGTCTCCAACTAGTTCTCAGTTGGATACTGCTGCCTAACATCAGGCCCTTAAGAAATATTTGTTGCGTGAGTTTTGGAACAGAACAAGGACACCTGTGATGTTTGGAGAAATAACGTAAGTCCAAGAATCAGGAAATTAGTTAGCTGAACAAGGTTTGACCATGATAATGACAAGTAAGATAATTAGCTTTTGATGACTACCTCACAGTTGCTCAACATGCTACTAGAAGCTTTAGAAATATAATCTCGATTTACTTTAATTTAATCATCATAATATCAGGCATCATGACCCCAATTTGACAGATTAATAAACTGAGGCTCTGAGGAGTAAAGTAATATGTCCACAGCCACAGAGCTATTAAGCATAGATTTTACTGTGATTAATATGCATGTCTTTTCAATGCCAGAATTAATACCTTTTTTTACCCCTTCCAATCTGGTCCTTCATTATTACTTTTTTTCATCTATTAAATGTGCAAATTTTAACAGTCACTAAGTTCTCTTCTACCTTTAAGATGTTCAAGATATAAGGTGGTACATATTTTAAGAAAAATTACAGTTTTGCTTGTTGATTGAAATACTGCAAGAGACAAAGAAATGGCTCTCCAAAGCTGAAAATTTAGGAGCCCTGAGAGGAAAGAGAAGAGGGAGTTTGGGGCACCTTGAACCTTACAAGAGATTTTTAGATACGCCTAAAGCTAGAGTTCATGTTGTGTTTTTACAGCAGTTAAAATTTACTGATAACTTATTATATGCAAGACACTATGACAAAAGTTTACATGTATTACCTCATGGAAATTTCAAACAACCCTATGAGATAAATCTGTTATTATTCTCAATTAATAGATGTGAAAACCAAGCTTAACCTTCCCAAATTCACTCAGTTAGTATGTGGTGGATCTTGGACTCAAACACATTTAACTCTGTTTAACTCTAAAGCCCATAATTTTAACTTTGAGGTTATACTGTTTCTGCATGCTGTGTTTAGCTTAATTAGCTATGTACATTTAATGCAATTTTTATCAATATTTTTTTGTCATTGATTTTTAAGTAAAGCCCATGGAAAGTTAGTCAGAAATCTGCTTTGTTTGTCTGCTAGCACATGCCACAGAGCTGCATATGTGGTGACACTTAACAAGTGTCTCATGATGAATGCCTCTCAGTACAATTAAATATCTTGAGGTCACTCTCAGTCACATGCCTATGAATTTCAAACTCTGTTCTCCTCTCCTTCTAGATATTGCTTTCTGTCTAAAGTAGATAGACTAACAAGCATCAAAAGAAAATCTCCTCACCAACGTAGAGATTTGCAAACTCTGACCTGAGAAAATCTCTACAGAGAAAACATAATGCCTGGTGGGTGATTGACATAACAGAAATCCTACCTCACTAAATGTGTTTCCACAGTTTGTTCTGTACTTATTAGAAGGGATTATTTACACTTTCAGAAGATGCAATCTCAGGGACCCTGATAGCAAATTAATTTTGGTATTAAGAGGAATTGAAGTTAGACATCACTCTACACTAGGACAGCCTAATTTTCATTTTAACTCTGACTTATGTTACACAGTATTATTAATCTATTTGCATATATACAACAAAAATTCGTATACATTTATGTTTTTATCTTCTGAAAGAAATAACCTCCAAATTAAGCTACATAGGAAGTGAGGAAAGGCTCAAAAAGATTCATTTAGATTCTGTAACTATTTAGAGGGAGGAGGAGATTTTAGAAGGTATAATTTTCTGATCAAATAAGTATTAGTTCATTTTTATTTTAGCCAAATACACATTTTCTAAAATACTAATAAGGTGTGCTATTTTTCTTCAACCAAATTTTTCACAATAAAATCCAACTGCAATATTCATTTAGAAATTTGATAATGCTCTCGTGTGAGTTTTAGGAATATTTGAAACCCCATTGCATATAAATTATATCATGGAAAAGCTGTATAAATATTCTATTATGGCACATGCTGTTCTAAGGATCTGTCAGGATTTCCTTTATACACTCCATTTTGAGTGGTATATAAATCAGATGTAAAAATTCATGTTGGACTGAAACTCAGCACAAAAAGCCTCCTCCAGAGGCAAATGCTTTTTTCAAAATGTGGTTTGAATTATGTTGGTCATTTTTAAGTTCTAGAAGTGCAGAAAATGTATTTGTGGTTTTGAAGGAGAGAGGTTTTTTCCATTTTTATAACTCATTAGGAAACTTTACAGGCCTTTAGACCATTTTGTGGTTTAGTTCTTCTCAGGTTTTTCCCCAAAGCAATATCAAAACTTGCATAGTGTCCGCTATGAATCCAGTGATTACTGTTCTGAATACAAATGTGTGTGTGTGTCGATATATATAGTTATACATATCTTCAAACTGGAAGAAGTTCCAGTATTATCAGGACTGAGGTAGAAGATGAGGCTATCAGCTGCCCATTCTTTGTTCATGGTATCAAGTCGAGTTTGGTCTACGAAAGAATCCTCTACCTAAACCATATTTCAGCATGTATTGCTTGTAATTTTATTTTATTTTATTTTTTATTTATTTATTTATTTTTAAAGATGACCGGTAAGGGGATCTTAACCCTTGACTTGGTGTTGTCAGCACCACGCTCAGCCAGTGAGCGAACCGGCCATCCCTATATGGGATCCGAACCCGGGGCCTTGGTGTTATCAGCACCGCACTCTCCCGAGTGAGCCACGGGCCGGCCCATTGCTTGTAATTTTAAAGATGTTTCTTTAACTTGCTGAAAAAACTGCTAAGATAAACACTGCTTCTTTCATGAGCTCCTTGACAATAAGGCTGTATCTTTCCTAAATTCCGTTTTCTCTAACATTTAAAGCAAGTTGCAGCAAGCTTAATAATCAGTGATTCTGATATCATTTGTAAAGTATTTAACATGTGTATGTTTATGTTTTTAAATAAGTTTGTCAAATAGTGTTGAACTTATTTTGTCTGTGTAGCTAATATGCTACTGAGTAATTTCATAAACATCCAAATTATTATTTTAGTGTATGTAGGGATTGTGATTATATTATCTCTTTTAACAGCATCAGTTAAAATCCGAAAAAGTTTGTACTAAAAAGTTGGCATGACTCACAAAGTTGATTAAGCCAATCTTTCAAATAACTTTAAAGAAAGATGAAAATAGAAATATTTTATACATTTTAATTTCTTCCACCTATTTCTTCAACTACGTTAGTTCATTAATTCATGGAACAACACATTTAGTAGTTATTATTTATTGCTTTACACATTAAAGCATAAAGAGGTTAAAAATTTCCCAGTGGCATACCTTACATTTATTATGAAATTCTGCTTAGAGAATCAGAATCTGGACGTGTTGATTCTTAATACAATTCTCTTTTCATCGTATCACACTATTTCTGGTGCCAATATTAAAATCTTTGGTTTTAGGAACAGTTAGGGGACCACTCAGGATAATCAAATATTTGCCTGTGAAGAGTAGAGCAAGGTGGACTTTCTCATTGGGACCCTCTGAGGAGCAGAAGAGGTCTAACTCCTCCTGAATGTTTTATCTACTAACCTAGCATCATAGAAATTAGCAGACTCTGCACTACAGAGGGAGCTGAATGCTAGTATTTTTTTTCCTTTTTTCACATTAACAGGAGAGCAGGGTTAGTAATGAAGGGTCACATCTCAAACTTCTAATCTATATAGCTGGATGTCCTTATTTCTATTTGGGTCATTTTTATATTCTGCTCCATTTACTTTTACTAAATTATACCAATTTGTGTTCCAGAATGTTACATTTGGTTATAATTATAAAATTTTATGTGTAATTCATACATCACTTATATACTTAACGTTTTTCTGTTATTTTATCATTACAGTCACATCTCTTATGATATAACTTAACATGTATTAATCCAAACATCTATGTATGACTCAATCAGTCATTAAGTTTGGTACAGCTTTTGGGGGAAGTCTACAAATTTCTGGCCACTGGGTACATATTGAAATACAGTTTTACATCAACCAAAAATGTTTCAAAGCAGAGCATAAACATTTTAAAACCACTGAAAATAAACACATGTTAAATACCAAAATAAATAGTTCTTATATGTGAAGAATCTAGATTTCAGGGGTTGAACTGAGGCAATTTATAACTCGTTAATTAGGTAGTATACCTATTGCACCCACCCCATCTATGGGAAAAATACCTATATGTTTTCTCACATTTTGAGAAGGAATAACACAATGCTGTTATTTGAATAGCACCGACCTTGTTAAATCCTGGCAGCATTGTTTTTTACATAAAAAGCAGTATATTTTCAAATAGGATGGCTACTTCTTAAAACACATGAAATAAAGAATGACATAGAAAAAACTTTAAGACTATGAATACTAAAGAATGTAAGATATATCCTCACCTTGATTTTACCTTTAAGCAGCCTTTTTTAATTTGTTTATTAGGAGCTTCTTCTCGTGGTTTTACAGGCTCTTGCTCTTGCTCTTTCTTTTGACAAACCAATGCATAATTTGTGCCATTATTATTTGACCAAAATGTACCAACAGAAGTTTCATAACGTATACAAAACTCAACTTTACTACCATCTTTTTGATAAGGAGGAACCAGTGAAATCTTAAAGGAGAACTGGTCAGTTTCACCATCACATGAATTAGGAACATATTCTGCTAAAATGTCATAATGTGTCTGCCAGTCATCTAAAGACATTCTCACATATACTAACTTCTCAAAAGAAATATTCAAAACTCGAATAATACCCTTCATAGTTGTACAGCCAGGAAGATACTCAGTTGACTCCAGTATTGCTTTCTGTACTTGAAGTTTTTGCATAAGATCTTCTTTCGAAGGCAAGTCAAAGAGTGGAGATAAAACATATTCTTCTGTACGGAAAATGTTCTTAGTTAAGTCAAAATTGGTTGAAACACCCGGTAATTCCCAGGAATCAAATTCCTTAACAGACACAAGATTGAATCCAAAGGAGTCAGCAAATGAAACTCTTCTCGTACCTGAAGATGGGATGTCCAGGTACATGTCTTCAGAAGAATCAGAACCTCGTCTACTCGGTTGAGGGGAGAAACTAGGTTTGAAGGTAGCTTTAACTTCTTCATCTTCACAAAGAGAATAAGATAAATTAGGAACTTCTAAAAAATTATCTTTGCTGATCTGACTAGGTACTTCAGAAGGCTCCATTGGGCTCTCTGATATCAAATGAGAGAGAATTGTACAACTAGTAGAGGCTGATATTTGAGATACGTAGGCTTAAAATAAGTATAACGTTACAGTTGACATTGCAGAAAGGAGTCAGCTCTATAAATAGACCCGATGGCGTGTAAACTATGCTAGCCTGCTTCCAAAGGCCTTTAATATGATAGCATTCATGCAACTCTCGCCAGTGTGTTTCAGATTTAAGTCTTAGTTTTTAATGTTGTATTTGTTTATAAGCTGAGTTCCAAAGAGACATTTTAATACCATTTTTGCTGTGCTAGAAATTCTGGAACTTTAACCTAGAAATATTATTTTAACCAGTTGATATTAAAAATTAAAACTTGGAACTTTTTTTAAAAAAGAAAATAAAAGTAATATCATAATACTGAATATGTAGTTTGAGCTAAATCAATCCACAGAGCAGGCAGGTCAGTCAGAGGAGGATAGGAACATTTACAGAACTGGAATGATCTAGAGCCTGCTAATAACGATAGCTACCATTTTCAGGGACTTATAATGTAAACTCTTTACTACAAAAGGGTTAAACAGAGGTGCTGAAAGTTCTGAGGGAGGAAACATGATTTAGAGGGAGAAGGTACCATTTGAAATAAAACATGAAGGGCAGGTAGAATCTAGACATGCAGGTTGGAATGAGGTGGATTTTCCAGGTAGAAGACATAGCCTGAGCCAAGGCCTAGAACAAAGAATTCACACAATCTATTATTTTAAACATTAGTTTCTTTTAATTAAGCCATGGAAAAATACACAGAAGTCACGTGTTATTGACTTGAAAATACAAGCTGGAAAAGATGAACCTGGCCCGGGAGTAAAATATTTATGTAGAGTAAAATGTTCATCTTGGTTATTCGGCCATAAAAAAAAAAAAAGGAAATCCTGCCATTCATGGCAACATGGATGAACCTGGAGGACATTATGTTATGGGAAATAAGCCAGGCACAGAAAGATAACTACCACATTTTCTCACTCATATGTGGAAGGTAAAAAAGTTGATCTCATAGAAATAGAGGGTATAATAACAGTTACTAAAGGCTGGAAAAGGAAGGGGAAGGTTAATATAGGGAGAGATTGGTTAACACATACAATATAATGTCTAGATAGGAGGAACAGGGTGACTATAGTCAACAACAATGTTTTGTATATTTTTAAATAGCTAGGAGAAAGGATTTTGAATGTTCCCAACACAAAGAAATGACAAATGTTTGAGGTGATGAATATGCTAACTACCCAGATTTGATCATTACATGTTGTATACGTGTACCAAAATATCACCTGGATGCCATAAATATATACAATTATTATGTGTCAATCAATAATAATAATAAAATGCTCATCTTGGGAAAATTACCATTTTATGCCCACAAAGCAGTTGATACCACAACACCTGTACTTTGATGTGAATTTTAAAGTATGAACAGCCTCTTTAGACTCTCACATGCTTTTTGTGTTAACGTAAAACCCATTTTGGTAAAAACCTATAAAAATTTTGAACACACACATGATTTGACCCAGAAATGCCTCAGCTAGAAATTTGCCCTATCGGTATGGAAAAGTATGCAAAGGTAAATGTAGATACATATTCATAACAGAAATGTTTATTTAAAAATCTCTGGAAACTATCTAAATGCTCATCAACACGGAACTGGGTAAATAATGTTACACACATGCAATAGAATGTTTTACAGTCATTAAAAAGGATAAAGTAGCACTTTATGTGCTGATGTGGAAAGATATCCAAGATAAATGGCTAAGTAAAAAAAAAAGAAAGAGAGAGAGAGAGAGAAAAGAAAAAAAAGATGTGCAGGTATGGGCATAGAAAATTCCTGGAAAGATACAAAAGAAAATGTTAGCAGCATTTACCTCTAACCACAGAGGTAGAAGTTTGCAGCCTTATTCATTTCTTTTTCATTTAAAGTTTTCTGTACTGTTTGAAATGTTATACATGGGCATGGTTTTTGTTCCAAATATCTATAAATTAAATTAAATTGAAAAAATATAAAGTGTGAGAGGTGATTTTTTTTTTCACGAAAGAGTCTAATGGCATAATTTCTTTCAAGTGACAGCTTCATAAATATGATATAAGTTATTGGATAACTTAAATTGCATAAAGTAGTGGGTGGAGAAGTTATTTTTCAAAATTAAAAATGAGCAGTGTCTAGAAGGATAAGGAAATGAAATTATTTAGGCTTTACCTTATTTACACAGCTAGAATGGGTGGTGGCCACGTGGGATGTTCAAGAATGGGATATGGCTGTGGAAATGGCTATCCCTTGCAAACCTGATGACCCTGAGAAGCCATATTTCAAGGTATCTAGAATATATCATTATGTAATCAAGGAAATTAGTGCAAAATACTTTGTAGAACTGGTGAGATAGTCCATATGGTTATGTTAATCACAGAACAACGAAAATTAACGATGTAATAATGCACTAAATTAATATGGCTGTGGAAATGGCTATCCCTTGCAAACCTGATGACCCTGAGAAGCCATATTTCAAGGTATCTAGAATATATCATTATGTAATCAAGGAAATTAGTGCAAAATACTTTGTAGAACTGGTGAGATAGTCCATATGGTTATGTTAATCACAGAACAACGAAAATTAACGATGTAATAATGCACTAAATTAATTTAACTATCTAACGGTTACAAGCAGAGGCATGGAGATGAAGACTCCTGGGTTCCTATCCTGCCTCTGCTACTTGTGAGTTGGATAACTTTCAGAATGTTGCTCAAATTTTCTAGACCTTAGTTTTCTTAATTATTAACATGCAATGTTACAATTAAATAAGATGACTGTTAAACGTCTAGCACAAAACCTATAGTAAAAGTAGTGATCATTTTTCTTTCTATATGTGTTTGTGAGAGGCTGATTTCTAAGATATGTAAAGAGATAGATGATAGGTAGATAGATTACAGAGAATCCATATATGTGAGTATTTGGATTTTTAATTTGTTTCATTTTTGCCTTTTTCAAATGCTGTAGTCTGTAATACTTGGCTTTATAAGACATAAAATAGCTCTATATTAGAATATTGTCCTGTTACTTGATCTAAACTTTTCCCTTTTTAATGTGTCTCTTTACACAGAGCACTACTCCCTTGATTTGCAGTAATCGCTGCCTTTCTTTGGGTTTATAACCCTCACATAATTGTAGACAGTTGACATGCTCCCCCTTAGTCACCACTTAGCTAAAGCAGAGTGATTTCATCTTTTTAATCTCTTCTCAGATGTCAATCCTCCAGTGCTTTTTATCATTTTGTTACTCCTCTATGAAGTCCTTCCAGTTTGCCTCTCATATTTTTCTGTTAATGAGCTGCCCCCAGATGAATGCACTATCACAGATTAAGTGTCTCTGGAGCATGTAAAGAAACACCAACAGCCGCAGCCTTGTGACTTGGTGTTTGTATTCAGTTAAAATTCACATTTCCTTGTTTCGTTTCCATACCACAGATCAGAGCAATGACCCACTTTTCCATATCCACTACTACCTCAGTTTCAACACTTTTAACACACTCTTCCTCAGCTGCTTAGGTATACCGTTTTTAGGAGAGTTAGGGCTTTTTTACAAACTAAAACTCAAGTCTCGATGCATTCCACTTTTTCATGTTAAACAAAGTTATGCAAAGTTACCTTTAACATAAGAGACAGTATCAGTCAGGATCCCAGTAAATAGGAAATAGATGACATGCTCAAATAAGATCATTCCAGGAGGGTTTATTTACAAGGTCTATTTATAAAGTGTAAATGTAAGAAAGCCACAAAGGCTAGTGTAACAAACTGGAGCCAGTTTGCATCAGAGCTGTTACCATTTCTCAAGCGATAAGGAAAGGGAGCAATTACCAGAACTTGAAAGCAAAGAGAACCTTAAAGAGTTCATTGGTTGGAAACCTGGTCAAGGGACACAGCCACTGAAGATGGACTTGCCAGGAGTGATCCAATGGCATAAATACACTGAATTCACTCTTCTCCTTTCCTATGATGTCCCATCAGGGTTACCCATTGGCCAGAGGGCATGGGGACTACTACAGTTCATTCAGGTCAGTCTCCTGGAGCAGAGCACAGGGTGGAACACAGCAAAAAGGGTGTTGAGTGGATTTGGAGGAGCAAACAGAAGATATCAGAGATTAAGCATGTACTTATACATGTATAATTACATACATACAGTATGTATACATACATCACTTAAAATATGTGTGTTTCTCGTCCTTTATATATATTCCATCTCAATGCCAACTGAGTTTCTATTATCTGACCATTTACTGTTACAGGTTCAAGCAAAAAAAGTTAAAATATCTAAGGTCTGTAAGCTCTGATCCAATGGAAGTTACAAGTAAGAAAAAATGAGTTTAGGGCCGGCCCGGTGGCGCACTGGAGAGTGCGCTGCTTGGGAGTGTGGAGGCGCTCCCGCTGAGGGTTCGGATCCCATGTGGAGACACCAAGGGTTGCGATCCCGTTACCGGTCAGTAAAAAAGACAAAAAGGAAAAAAAAAGAAAAAGAAAAAATGAGTTTAGGGCCGGCCCGGTGGCGCACTGGAGAGTGCGCTGCTTGGGAGTGTGGAGGCGCTCCCGCTGAGGGTTCGGATCCCATGTGGAGACACCAAGGGTTGCGATCCCGTTACCGGTCAGTAAAAAAGACAAAAAGGAAAAAAAAAGAAAAAGAAAAAATGAGTTTATCCACAAATGAATAGAAAAGGAATGATTTGTTAAAAATTCATTATAACTTCACATTTGTTTCCCTTAGTCTGCAACCTAAACTCAAGAAACATTTTGTCAAAAGAGAATATGGAACATGTTTCTTAAGTAAGAATACATATCACAATCACTGGGAGAGTTGTTTAAAATACACAGGCTCAGGTATACTATCAGATTTACTGAATAAGAATTACCAGGTTGATGATGCTCCACAATGATTCTGGTATGCAGACTTGGGTAAGTTGCATGATCTACTAGTCTCTTGGCCATAAAGTCAAGGACTTTTGTTCTAGTTATGAAAACAATTGTAGCTATCATCCCTCAAGTGCTATG